TTTATTAATAATATGGATCACCCCACACAATGCCTGGTAATCACTCCTCAATGAGGGGCTACACGTGACATTATCGCGTGGTCATCATATCCATATCTACCCTTTCCCACTCGTTAAGGTATTTTAAAGTGCGGAATGGTCTCATTTACTTATTGCATGCTATTACCCATCCCAATCCTATCAGTCCCGGAGGCATTTAGGACTACTAATCCTAAAGGGGAGGGGTATTATGCTTATTTTTAGTTTCAAAGGAAAACTTCTAAGGCGACACACAAAACATGTATAGCAAATTTGGGGAAAGCACATAACAAGCAAAAAGGGCCCAGATACACCTCCTTTAAACAAAGAAGCACATAATTAGAATGACTTACACATACTGTTTAGGGCCTGATTAAATACTAACATGAGAGGACTTAAAGGTTGAGGCAGACTGATTTAATACATAATTCAGATAAGAAGCCCGAATCAGGCCTGCCTGCTAGTTGTAGTTAATAGAACAGATTCAGTTTATAACTTTACCCTAAGGCTTGCCTAAATGTTGGGCAAGGATCCTATGGGCATGACATCTACTGAATTCAGAAAGCAATGAAATAATAAGGTCTAAAAAATAACTGATATGGTAGTAAAAAAGAAAAGGCCAGTTTAACGAAGGTTATAAGTTCTGTAACTAATGGTACTTATTATTACTGGTTTTAGCTCGATACGTGAATAAAGCAATTCAGATTCGTTTAAGGATTCCTATAGACATGCTTTCTACGCATAGTTGATTTTAAGCCTTTTGTAGACATAGTAAAAAAATGCAGAAGCTTTATAGACATGATATCTAAATGCATAAGACTGGTTTTAACCTATAAACATGGTATCTAACTGGCAGAAAAACCTATGAGCATGATATCTAGATGCAACATTTGTTTAAAACCTATGAGCATAATATCTATACGAATGTAGTAATCCTATGATCATGATTTCTATGCGAAAATGGACATTCTGAATCCCTTATAAACATGCTTTCTATATGCATTTGAATGTGTAGAATTCAGAAATACCTATAGACATGGTATCTATGTGAGAATGTAGAATTTAGAATGACCTGTAAGCATAGTATCTACGTGAGAATGCAGAATTCAGAATGACCTATAGGCATGGCATCTACCCTTTGCATACGTAGTTACCCGCCCTTTTCACTAACCATCCCCAAAAGTTTATTACAACTTATTACAGCACAGAATAAAGTAAAAAAAATACATCAGAAAATATAAAAGTAGAACCAAAGGAGAGCCTGATTCAGACTTCATGTCTGAAATATGAGGTAAACTAACTCTAAGAGATCATGATACAAAGCTTTTCTCCCATTTGAATGTGTCAAAGTTCTCTAAGAGACTCAATGGGATTCCGGGCAATGCTCACACCCAAATGTATTGTCATATTAGGACAAGTGCAGTGTGAAAGGGCTAGCCCTCAAGTGTCCAAGTTCAGAAGGAACTCAAAGGGTCCCAAGGCAAGGCTCACAAGAGGGGGGCAGAACTTAAAGACTAAGAAAGTGTGCAAGTGCAGAATAGACTACTAAAGGGGAAAATGAGAGGGAAACAGTTACTAATAAACACACATAGGGGGTTAGGAAAATTATGAAGAGCCTATTGCTTAGGACAGGACAGGCTTCAAGCATGCTCAACAATGGAGGATGCTAGCATACTCTCAAACCTGTCAGAACACATTATTTAGAGGCTAGGATCCCAAGGGATCGAGTTTGATTCATGGACAATAACTTGTAGTATTGCCATGCCTCAAACCATAGCTTAAACACATAGGGGGCAGGGGTTTGGGATTCATACTAGAACAGGCAGAAAGAGATCAGTAGTGTTGAAACATATAGAAACAGTAAGCAGACAGGGATACAAAAGTAGTAAATAAACACATTGTTGTAATGCTAAAAGCTTAAATCAGGACATACCAGTTTTCAAAGAAGCAAGTAAAGAAAAGCAAGCAGTAGGTCTTATAAACAGGCCACAGTACAAGCAACAAGAAAGAATATTTTCTTTCGAGTGTAAGTGTAAGTTCAGAAAGACTATGAGTGGTGGTGTGTTTGTGTCAATGAAGAGCAAGTATTTGTAGTGTGAAGAACAGGCAGAAACAAGGTAAGAAAATAATTAAGGAACTGAATATCAATTAAAATCAATCAATACAAGACTTCCTTTAATCAAGGAATTCAGACTTAAACGGTAAAAGCTATTTAGGGAAAGAAATCAAATAAACATCTTGTGCAAAGTAGGCAATTAGGGGTAAATATATAGGGGTTTTAATTAAGGCAAGAATTTTGAAATACACGGTTAAAATAAATAAGGTAAGGATCCCCCAGAAGGCAGTAAATCAAAGGGTAAGAGATTATGTAAGTATTTGTCCATAAATGAACCAGGTCAGAAAAGCTAAGGAAAACTTTTAACGTAAATCGAGTCATAGGGAAATCAACAAACAAGGAAAGAAATCAATCAAGCCTATACAGAAGGAAGCCTGAAACTAATCAAAATTTGAAAGCCCTTTAGAAGGGAAGTTCAACACATATAAAGAGTACACAAGTATCAGACATGCGAGGCTGAATTTAGGACAAAGTGAAAGTGTCATGCAATTGCAAAATAAGTAGATAGTAGACTACAGGATCATGGTAGTCACCTAGGTTAGCACTGTAAAAGACAGATAGTATCAAATAGCATACAAAAGGTCCAGTGTAAAAGACCTTAGAAGAGTTTAGCAAAAGTCAGAATCATATGAAAGACAAAGATTTCAAAACTCAGTTCAGAGACTCGAAATAGGTCTACAGGAGTTAGGGTTCTTGAAATAAAACCCGTTTCAAGCAAATCACATAGCCAATGGTTTCCAAACTCGGAAGAAACCCCAAATTCTAGGGTTTCTACCATCAATCGTGTGCAGAGATGAGAGGACAAGTAATCAAGTCGAAACAGGTTCAGAGGTTTCAGAAAGGAACTGAGCCCTTTAACATGTTCCTTTAGTAACAGAAACTCATTAGAAACATAGTAGAAGAGTAACATGCGAAACACAGTATAAGAGCTCAAAGAAAACATAGTAGAAGAAACTAATAACAAACATAGTAGAAGAAAACTAATCAGAACACTGTAAAGGAACTAAAAAAAATATGGTAGAGGAAACTGATAAGAACATGGTAGCAGAAGCTTAACGAGAACACAGTAGAAGAAACATAGTAGAAGAAACACACAGGAGAAAAAAAAATCAGATAGATATCTAAAAACCCTAGATCGGAAAATAACGGGTTTGAAAGCATAACTATTGAAAAAATATCAGAAAATCATTTAAAAGCTTAGGGAAAGCATAGATCTGGAACAGATCTAAAGAGATCAGAAAAACCTCAAAAGCTAGGGTTTTCAGAGGAACCCAAACAGTGAGAAAAGCTTGGATCTAAGCGAGAGGAGTCAAGGCCAGGCTCGAAACAGACATGGCTTGCCGGAGATGGCCGTAAAGCTTGAATCAACAGAGGTCTGGACCCAGATCTTCATGGTCAAGTCATGAAACTTCAGTAACCAAACGTGAGGAGCCATAAGAGGCTGGTAGGTGGTTAGACCACCATGGATTCTGGCTAGGAGGTGGCGGAGAAGGCGAGTGGAGCTCATCGGAGCGGAGGGGAAGGGGAAAGGTTATAGAAAGAACCAGNTGATCAATTTTGATCAACGACCAAGATTTAATCCGGTTTGGGTCGGGTAGATTTAGGGATTGGGATTGGGCTTGGGTCTTTGGGCTGGTTTAATTTGGGTTGGGGTTTGGTGTAATATAGGTTAGATTATAAAGCCAAATTTGGTTATAAGTTAAATAACCCCTTTTCCCCATTTAATTTATAAAAATAGTAAATGAATTTCTGAAATCAAATTGAAAGTGCTAAAATAGTTTATAATATAAAATTAACAATTTAAAAAGCTAAGCCCTATTTTATAAACACGAGACAAATTTAAAACTAAAAATGGCTAATATTGCAATTATGCAATTTTATCCTTAAAATACCAAATAAATTTGTAAAAAAATATATAAAAAATATCTTAGCCATATTTCAGTGTAAACATGAGACTCCAATAAATGAATCACTAAAATGATAATTTTGGGGATAATTATTGGGGTTTTCTTGATAAAATAGGCCAGTAAATTGATTTAAAAATTCTTGAAAAATTAGAAAAAATAATTGGACCTTGGGACATACCTATATATGCATATACACGCTATTTTGAAAGATATTTTGTACATAAAAATATATAAAAAAAATTGGGTATCAACACTCATTGATTTATCAGTTAAGCCATACCCATTAATTTAATAAATAAAATATCCACATTTAGCAAAATGACACATCGTATTAATACTTTCAAATAAATAATATTAACAGATAAAGCTTTAAAAAATTTAATATTAAACACAAATATCTTTGAAACTTTATTTAAATTTTTATTGCCTATAAAAAACTATCATTTGTTAAACAAATTTATTTTTATTATTTTAAATAAATATTAAAAATAAATATTTTTATATTTAAAATGTGTTAATGTTTGAATATGATTAAACAAATTGAGTGCCAATTGAAAAATTAAATATATGGATATATTATAAAAATAATAAATAAAATAATTTAAAATTATTTTAATTATAAGTAAAATACCTAGGTAAAAATATATTATATACTATATAATATAGAAGGTATTATATAAATGAGAGGATTTATAATATCAAAGATATAATAGACTTTTCAAGTAAAAGTATTATAAAATCTGTCCAAGGTGATTTTTGTGATAAATAGAGCAAAGTAAAATAATTTTTATATAATAAAAAAAGGTGACTTTAACACAAAGTTAAATGATTTTTACTTTTTGCTTAATTAACATAAGGTTGAATTAGCACCAACAAAATTTACTCCAGTATATGGGGATTGGGGTGGGCCCGTATTTGCTTCAACTTCTTGTTACTAATTTACTACCACTCTCCTCCCTCCAAAAATCTCTAACAATGGCGCTTAACATTCTAACATTCACCGCTGCAGCAGTTCCATTTCCCTCCAAAATATTTAATCATTCAATCCAACCCAAAATCCCTCTCCAGCTTCACTTCTCAATACCCATCTCAACGAGGCACTTGTCAGTTCCTCAGAGTTCAACACAGCCTCAGAAATATGTCTATCCTGACCCAATCCCTGAATTTGCTGTTGCTGTAACTCATTCTTGCATCATTCACTCTTTATATAACTTAAAATTTAGCCCTTTAACTAGAAAAATAATACTACTCATTACTGTAATCTAACTCGCGGTTTGTTTGTGGGATAGTTTATTGAAGGAAAATTTGTTTACATGTACTATTAGAAAGAAATGAGCCCCAATAGAGTAGTAGTAATTAGTTTGAAATTTAATTGTATTTTTTTGACGGGTTTAAGTTATGCGCTGACAGTGTAATGACTTTTTTACACTATCAGTATAATTTCACCTATTACAGAAGATTGCTTTCCATTTTCTTAAGGTTACCAATATTGTATAGAGAATTACTTCCAGTTACCTTTTACTAAATGACTTGATGGAATAAATTTTCACTTGCGCAGAACTTATATATAGTTTTTATTTGTTAATATTGATTGACATCTTTAATTGGGATCCCCTATGTGCCTTTAAAAGATAGCATATTCATTAATGCACCTAACTAGTTTGGAATTGAGTTTTAATTTGTCACTATTTAATGTTGATTGATTTATTTAGCTGCGAAATGTAGGAGACACAGAAGTTCAAGACTGAGCTATTGAAGAAGCTGTCAAAAGAAAAGGAGACATTTGGGGACGAGCTTGATGATGTTGTTAGTGTTTGTGCTGAGGTAAGGCTTTCTAGTGGCACTTCTCAGTGTTGGGGAAGAATTTCTTTTTCTATATGGTGGTAATAGAATGAGATTTGGTTAAAGTTTAGGAATTGGACATCTCATGATATGTTTAATGAAATGTCTAGGTGAAGATATGTAACTTGCTTTATTTTTTATATTTCTCGTATGTTGGGTCTAATTCATGTTACTTTAGCTGGACTATTTCTAATTGAGTACTTATAATACATGTGTGGTGTTCAGTCAGACCTTTGATTAATTACATCTCTTTTTGATTGATCTCCTCATTTCTGTAATTTTTTTTACGAATGTTTTCTGGTTCGCTTTTGATGCGCGTTTAATGGTAAAAGATTATATTCTTGTGCTTGGTAAATGATAGTTATTGTAGAAGGCATGTATGCTGAACCTTTCTTGAATATGTAAAGATGGACTCCTGTCCTTGCTTTATGTTCCAACATTCGGATTACCATACTAATTGATGAAGAGATCGCAATGTTGCAGTTTAGAAATGTTCTATTCACTAATGTGTAAATTCTTGGTTGATTAAATGTCACGACTGAATTTCATAGTGTTGTTCTAGTGGATTTTCATTTAATTCTGGTTTTAGGCTTTCTACTGAATCATGGTTGCTTATGTTCCAAGATATCTGCTTCGTTCCTCTAGTTGTTGATAGTTTCATGTTCCTTCCCTCAGTGACAGTATGAAGAAAAGATCATACGAAACTGATGGACATGGAACATGAAATCGTCTAATTGCATTAAATATGGCCTAAACTTAAAATTCATTAAAATAAAATGCAATAAACTGGAACTTTGGAAGTGATTACTTGGAAGATCTATCCGTAGTTTTTCTTTGATTTTGCACATACAGCGCTGGATCATTTACTTTAAAGGGACAGATATCAGAGCTTACAGCATGGAAAAGAACAATTTTATCAGTTTTGGTTCGCATATTAGAAGATAACTGCACTTTAAACCAGCTGAACAGGTGCAGTAAGTTCTGCTCGGAGCATGCTGAAGAATTGAGTGGGATTTAGTGTTGAGAGTTCGTCTTTTGCAGTTATAGTCTTTAGAGGATCATGAAGCTCTCTTCCAATTGATCCTACAACAGTGAGGTTTATAGCGGTTTTCGTGGACCTTTTGAAGATTAAAAACCAGAATTTGTGTAACTCCAGAATATAGTCCTCGTTTCATAAAAAATTCGGTTCCATTGGTGCTCTGTGGAGAGCTTAAGAGGAATTACCGCAGATATAGAATTAGCTGGCTGATTTTGGAAACACCTCTAGTGGTCCATAAATCGTGCCATCTAACTTAAATATAACCTCGCGGAGTTAAAATTACAGAACATGTGGAGTAAGCTGTTGTATCATTTTCCTTTTCCTAATATTAGTCTCAGGAGTAAACTCTTTTGCTACCTCTAACTACGTTGAGAATACTTGTGTAAAAACTTACTTTTATCTGGTTTTCACTTGTTAGTTTTTAAGGATGAGATGACTTTACTCCACCAGATATGATTAGGTGTAACTGACTTAGTTTGAATTTGCATTTGCCCCTTACTTTTCTTTGTTTGAACCCATAGACTGTCAAGAATCAGATGTTTCATTTAATGAAGATGAGACTTATAAAAGATATAGTGCCAATTGAGTAATTGACATGAGAAGGAAAGAAAATTCAATATTCTCAACATAATTTGACCTTTTTTCCTAATAGTTTGTCTTTGGTCGCAATAAATTGACATGCTGACAATCTGTCTCAGTATTGAATGTTCTACTTAAATGTGCTGACTTTGATTGGATCTGGAAAAGAGTTTTTGGAAATAGCCTGCTCTTTTTTCATTTTAATATTCTGCCCTTGATCTGTGAAAATTGTGCAAATTTTAGTTGGTTGTTCTTACTTTCTATAGTTGAAGCTATAGTCCTCTTGAGCAAATATTATTTGGGGGAGTTAACTGCTTTTATAGCCTGTTTGGCCAAGCTTATTTTTGGCCAAAAGTGCTTTTTTTTGGCCAAAAGCACTTTTGGCCTCAATTTGAGGTGTTTGGCCAAGCTTCTGGAAGGAAAAAAAGTGCTTTTGAGGAGAAACAGAAAAAAGTAGCTTCTCTCCAAAAGTACTTTTTTGAGAAGCACTTTTGAGAAAAATACACTTAGAAGCAGTTTTTTAAAGCTTGGTCAAACACTAATTGCTGCTCAGAAGTGCTTTTCAAACTAATTAGCCAAACACAAACTGCTTTTCACCAAAAGTACTTTTGAGAAAAGCACTTTTGAAAAAAAGCACTCCTCAAAATAAGCTGATTTTTGCAGCTTGGCCAAACAGGCTATTAGTTAGATTGAGTGAATCCATTCCTTTGTCTGAAATTTCCAGACTATCATAAATATTGCTTGTCATCTTCCGGAGGGGAGTGTTGACATAACTGGTAAAGTTGCTGTCATGTGACCAAGAGGTCACAAATTCGAGCCGTGGAAACAACCTCTTGCAGAAATGCAAGGTAAGACTGCGTACAATAGACCCTTATGGTCTGGCTCTTCCCCGGAACCCGCATAGCAGAAGCTTAGTGCACCAGGCTGCCTTTTATTTTTTTTTTCTTCCAACTTCAGTTTAACAACTTGGAATGAATAACCTCATAAAACACTATCACGCCCATTATGGTCCTTTCTAGTGAAATAATTGTACTAACTGACATACTTAGCTAGCACACAACTCTTGATCCAAAGGTCATTTAGTGTACTACAGATTTTGTTCAATATAAAATCATGTTTATTTCTACTGATAATCTGACTTGTTACTGATCTGGAAATAGTACAATGATTGATATTTGAAAGAAATATCTGGTACTTGTTACTATAGAAATATAGCAGGGACAGTTTATATCAAGCTGTACTTGGCCTTTTGTGCCACCAACACTGGCATTTTCTAGAATAAACATTTATTATATGATGCTTTTTACTTTCATGAGTATTAAAAGATTATAGAGTTGGTTTGCTATTCTTTAGCTTTAAAGTACCTTCTTTTGTATTAATCAGATTTTTAATGAATTCTTGCACAAAGAATATGGAGGACCCGGGACACTACTGGTGGAGCCTTTTACTGATATGATGGTAGCTCTCAAAGAGAGGAAACTTCCAGGAGCGGCATTGTCTGCGCGAGCATCATTATTGTGGGCTCAAAATTATGTTGATCAGGATTGGGAGACTTGGACCTCAAAACAACTAAGACAATGAAAACCGTCATTTTTTCTTGCATACATGGGTCGATAATCATGGCTAATCTTCAGAGTTGCTTGGTACTGTACTAGTAAAAGGTAGCCGGTATGTGGTGGAATAGTCGAGGTGTGTGTAAGCTGAATCGAACCATCGACATAAAATTACCAAAAAAAAAAGTAGCCGTGGCTAATCTTGAATCTAGCTTCTGCTCTAGAAAAGAACAATGCTAGAATTCTGGAGAATATGTATTTCCATTATGGGATGTTCTTTCTATCAAGCGGAGTTAGTTTTCCATTCTATTCTATACAAAAGCATTATTGCTCAACATCCCTCATTAACTAGAGTTGTGAATGACAATGGCTGAATGAGAACCACCAACTTCTGTGAGTTCCTTGTTGCGTATCTTTTAGAAGTCCCATTGCCGGTGATCGGATTGCAACCACCATTAGCTACTGGACTCAGAAATACTCTGTAAAGTTGGACGCCATGATTTGAACCTTGCAGCAGCAGCAGCTAAGTTTGTTGCTCCAGGCCTTTGCCTGTGTCCTTCATGTCTCATAGCCTGCAAATGATCAATTTTATGTAAATAGTTAACCTGAATATCATTATATATTAGTCTCTTTCGTGTTTTCAACTCTGCTATTGGTTATTGAATTCTTGGAATATTTCTTTTTCGTTTACTTTTTGATCCCATCCTTAAGTTTCCTTAAATGAATATAGCATTTGTTGCACAAAAGGGATATAAAGCTTGTATATTTAAAAGTGTTTAATTGGCCATGCATTTAAGAACTTCCTCTTTTCCTGTCTAACCTTTCTAAGTAATTGGTGAGATTAGCTTAAATAGAACAGAACAAATATCGAGGATTCATATAGTCGGTTTCAACAAGTTAGGGATAAAGGCATAGTTGTGATAGCACCCTTTTCCCTTCTGTGACTGTTCTGTTTCTTGGTAGATAGTAATTTTTAAGAAAGAACAAAATAAAAATAAAATTTACAATTGATTGGTTCAAAATTATTACTCCTACCTTGTTCTTATCTGATTCAGATTTTCCAGCTTCAAGTTCACAACTTGACCTCTGATTTTCTTGCAACTCTGGTTGGTTCTTCTTCATCTTTGCATGTTTCTTTGCTCTCAATACCTTCATCACCTCTGTAAATAGAACACCACAAACTTTATTAACATCAAGAAAAGAATAACTAACAAAAGGTTTTGCAGCAAAAGTTGTGAACTTGAACAAAGAACTAGATACATACCTTGAGTTGTAACAAGTCTATAAGCTCTGCCAAGAACTAGAGTATCCGTTGGCCGGAGAAGCTTAACACGGGTGAAACGAACAGTTTTATCGTCGGAATTATCATCGGAGGAGGAGATAGGAAGAGGAATAATGAGAGAAACATAATGACCAGGGTTCATTTTCATAACCTCACTAGCAGTCATAGGCCAATACATCCTATCTATTTTTCCATTAGGATGTTGTATTACTAATGCTGCTGCATCTACAGCCTGACAATTACCCATTTTTGTTTTCCTTTTTTTTTCTTCCAAATATAATGATCTTTCTTTGACTCCTAAGATGAGAGAAAAGAAGAAGGGATAAGAAGGGAGGAGGAAGGAAAGAAGGATATGAAATAGACAAGAGTCTTTTTCCAACTAGTAGTACCCAACCCCCTTCTTTGAGAATGGTAAAATAGGTCTCACTCAAGCTAGCACAGCAGTCCCCTCCTCTCTCTATCTATTCCTAACTAATTTATATAGTTATATATGCCACCTAAAAAGATAATTTTAAAAAGTTTTAAGTTATATGCATGGATAGTGACGAAGCAAATGGTTTTTTCCATGTTACTAAATCATGATTATTGGAGTATAAGCTTTTAATTGTAATTGGCTTTTAAGTGATCTTAGTGCCACAAAAAATTTGATGGAAGATTTTTTCAATTATTATTTTTTTTTACTTTTTTCCGAAATCAGCATTTGTTCATAAAATATTCAATTTTCACTTGAAGATGCATTTTAAAAATTTTCGAAAATTTGAAAAACTGCAAAAAAACTGTTTTTCAAAATTTTCACTCAAATCACTCACAAAATTTCAAAAACAACCCAAACTGAAATTTATGTCCAAACACAACTCTAAATTTCAAATACCATTTTCACTTGAAAAATTTTTTCACCATTTTTTTGAATTTTACAATTCTTATGTCCAAACGCCTACTTAATTACCACTAACAAGTGTTGTGAGATGAAGGTGATTCCTTCACCATCAGCTAGCTAGAGGTTTTCGGTTTGAGTCTTGAGAATGAAGATCTCCTGTTAGGAAGTTTAATTAGCCATATACTATGCGAATCCGATTAGTTGGGACAATGGATTGTAGAAACTGAATTGTTAAACTAAAAAGAAAAGGGCAACCTTAATTTATCAATTAATTTTGCACTAGTTTGGACTAGTTATATTAATCTTCTAGTATTGTGAAGATTCATGAGATTTTTATGAGTTTCATAATCATTTTTGCTTAAAGATTCATATAGGCAGAGTTGATTTTTAAGTAACTCAATCGTTTCTTTACATTATCTGTGCCAAAAATAATTACTATACTTTCTTTATTTACGTGTCACATCAATTTTAAACACGGGTAGTTTATACCTCTTCGAAATCCTCGTAATCCATCTGAAACTTTTGCTAGGTGATCTTATTATATATTATAGTAACACTCAAATTGCATTATATTAAACCTCAAAGAAACAAATAAATAATATTGGTAAGATTAAGAAAACGAATCAAATTGACGTCATCAACAGTAGCTGCCGGCAGAGTCCTAAAAAACAGGTAGGGCTGCCACGTGGTTCAACGGCGAGGGGCCGGGATCTTGGACGGCCATGCTCGGCGGTGTCGACGGGGTCAAGATTTGAATTTCTTTTAAGAAGGGAAAATTTTTCCATCATCAAACAAAAAAATAAAAATAAATAAATAAATAGATAGATAGTAACATGAATAATAATGATATTTATAGGTCAATGCCTAGATATCAATGAAAAATGATTGAGAAAAACAAATCAAGGCGTGTATCTGAGATTCTATTGTCGCCCCATCTAACTTCTACTACTACTTAACCCCTATTCCCTTCAGATTACCTAAACTCCTTTGGCTACATTCCCAAAACACTTGACCTTTTTATTCTTGGACAATTTTTTTTAAAAAAAAATCTTTTGGACCTGATTTTCGATATTTGCATTGGTTCATATTAATTTGGATTCGCTTTCTTGTTAAAGGAAAGTTGCTTTTATCGAGGCTTTTTTCATTTCAGAACTCTAATTTGAACATCAGTTAAGAGAGTAGAAAGATCTTATTCATTTCATTACAACTCTTTTGGTGATTTAGATAATATATTTGCTGGTAAAATTATAATTTTACTTGTCATAAAAAATTATATTTTGAAATGTTGTTATCGATAAAAACTATACGTGTATAGTGTGTTATTATTATGCCTGTATTTGTAAATAATGATTCTGGAAATTAGAACGTTAACTTATAAACGTAAATATAAATAAAATAGAAATTAATTCGAGTCCACTGAATTCACAGTGTTTCCTTAAGGAATTTAATCCCCTCCTAGTACCCAAGGTTATGGATTATTTCCTCCCAGGATAGAACGAATTACACACTGGTGTAGCGGTACTTCAAACCCCAGTGTTTCAGCGAATACAAAGTTCGGCAGCAAATCACACTTACGGATGCTTTGTTTGTAGTTTAAAACAATGCAGAACAAGGGAGGAAAACTCAGAAGTCGAATGGAAATTCAGGAAGGAATGCAAATTATAGCCAACGTTGAGTTTTCGGTGAAGAGAAGATCAATAGCTCTCAATTCTGTTTCGATGTGTTTTTCTCCAACTACTACTGCTCATATTTATAGCAGTCAGTTGTGGAGCATGCACTAGCTTGTTATGGAGCAAGCCATGATGGAGCATGCACTAGCTTGTTATGGAGCAAGCACTTAGCCATGGTGGGCGGAGCACTAGGCGGCTACTATTGCAACTGGTGGTACAATACACGGATTGGAACATATCCGTTACAAACACGGATAATATTACGTTAATATCTACTATTAACAAATAAATTT